ATGCGAGTCAGGTGGAACCCATCAATTATTGGGTATAAGACCAGTGTGGCTGAGCCACCGTGACAGATACTGGTCGGATGATCCTGGCGATCAAAAGTGATCGGGCATGACGACCATGGATTAAATTTTGGGGCGACTGACTCTATCGCGTACACGTCCCTGAGTGCACGCTTGCGCTCCCTCTTGGGGATGTGGGTAGCTTATATCATGTTCACCATTTTGACCTGACGGGGAAACTTCTTCTGTCCCCCTGTGTTCGGTTGTCGTGGCTCTTCGTCATTGTCCTCGCTTTGCGATCCCTTTTCCCTGTTCTCAGCGTTTAATTTGTCGGCTTGTTTAAAAACCCAGCAATCTCTATTTGTATGATTGGGTGGTTTGTCCGGGGTGCCATGAATCTGGCACGGACGATCGAGTATTCGGTCCAAGCTGGATGGGCCCGAATTGTTCTTTTGAAACGGCTTCTTCCGCTGACCGGACTTAGAGCCACTGAATCCGGCATTGACCATTGTATCCTCGATGTTGTCACTGTTGTTTCGACGCTTGTATCTGTTGCGTCGAGACTGATCTTTGTTACTTTTAACTTCAGGGGTGCCGGCGTCACTTGCATTGTTTTTGCTAAGGGCCAACCAATTGCCCTCGCCCGCACAGAAGCGGGTCATGAGTGTCATGAGGGCCGCCATAGATTTTGGCTTTTCTTGGCCGAGGTGGCGAGCGAGCCATTCGTCGCGGATGCTGTGCTTGAAGGCTGCTAGGTCCTCGGCATCCGGACAATCGAGGATTTGATTCTTTTTAGTTAAGAACCTAGTCCAGAATTTCCTGGCGGACTCGTCAGGCTGTTGCACTATATGGCTTAAATCATCAGCATTCGGAGGTCGAACATATGTACCTTGGAAGTTATCGAGGAAAGCCTCTTCCAAGTCCTCCCAGCTGCCAATAGAATTTTCGGGCAGACTGTTTAGCCAATGCCGAGCTGGCCCAATGGGTTTTAAAGAGAGGTATTTGATGGCGTGGAGGTCATCGCCGCGGGCCATATGAATGTGGAGAATGAAGTCTTCGATCCACACCGCGGGGTCCGTGGTTCCGTCGTATGATTCGATATTCACGAGTTTGAACCCTTCTGGGAATTCATGATCCAGGACCTCATCAGTGAAGCAATGAGGGTGTGCGGCTCCTCTATACCGGGCCGTATCACGACGTAGCTCTGATGGAGTCCGTCTGCGGTTTTCAGCCTGCGTATGACTAGGTTTGTCACGTCCGAATAGGTGGCCGTGGTCGCGTGTCGAGGCGCGTCCTTGTGATCCGTAGATTGATCTGCTGTGTCCTGCTTTATTGTTCAGGTTTTGCCGGAGGTCATATGTATGGTCGTGGGATAATTTACCTCTACCTGTGCGATGAGGCGGGGCGGGCTGGTGTTCGGCGTGAGTTGCCGTTTTGTCTCGACCACGTGGTGGTCGGTCAGGCGCATTGTATGATGATGATATGTATTCTGGCGCCTCCTCGTCAAACTGAGGTAACAATTTGCGCTTTGGGAAGCTTTTGGTTGGGCGCTTGAGGCCGTGTTCTTCGGCTGCTAGGACATCGGTCCATTTATCATTGAGCAGATCTTGGTCAGCTTGAAGTTGCTGCTGCTTCTTTTTCAGGATCCTTGCAGTGGCTATTAGCTACCGCTTGAAGCGCTCCTGCTCAAGAGGTTCCTCAGGCATGATGAAATCCTCGGTGCCGAGGTTCACCTCGTCCTCGGAGAGCGGAAGGTAATTATCGTCCTCCGAATCCTTGTGTGTGGCCTGTTTACCAGGGCTAGCCTGCTCATCTTCCCATTCATCTTGTTCATTAGCTGTATCAACGGGGTCTTCGTTGTCTTTGGCACCTTCTGGAGTGTTATCTTCTCCTGTGCCGGTGTTGCTGTCTTTACTACGGCGTGACTTAGAGCGGCGCCGCTGACACCGGCACTTGGACTGTATTTCAGAAGGTTTATCCTCAGCTGGATCTTCCTTATCATCGTTGCTGTTCTCCTTTGGTGCATCCACCATGTATACATCATACGAGGAAGTGGCCGTCCAGCGTTTGGTGAACGGCGGGTTCTGGGCCTCTTCTTCTCCGGCATCGTCGTCCATACTGTCGATATCCTCGGAGTCGTAATCAAGGGTGTCGGTCAAATCCTCGACCGCGGCTATGAAGTGGGTGGCGGGTGGGAAGCAAAATTCTCCACCGCCGGCCCCTAGCTCGAGCCGGATATAGTTCGTCTGTGAGTCCTTTGCCAAGGACAGGTTTTTTAATGAGTTTAGCACATCGCTCAAAGGCGAGTGCTGGAAGATGTCTGTGGCGCTGAATTCGAAGATCGATAAATGATCAAGTTCGGCGTCCGCAGGTTCACGTGGTTCGAAACTTACGGCCGAAGACGAGTCTGGAGTTCCGATGACAAAGACGTCGTGAGAGGTTAAGTCTATGTGCGGCTCCAACGCCATGGAATATGTGGCCTCCGTGGTGGGGTTGACCCTCCCGTCCTTGGATGGTGCAGCTTGCTCCGGATCTAAGGCCAGAGCGGTTGCAGGAGCAATCTCCTAGATGCGGCCTGATGACATATTTAGGTCATGATCATCGGGGTGACCAGGAGCGGCTACTGTGGTCTCGAATCCGGCAAAGATCAAGTTCCCACGGATGTCCGCAACGTAGTTCAAGCTCCTGAATCTGACCTGATGGCCAGGGGCGTAGCTTTCGATCTGCTCCAGATGGCCGAACGAGTTGGCTCGCAGTGCGAAGCCGCCGAACACGAAGATCTGTCCGGGGAGAAATGTTTCTCCTTGGATAGCGTCATTATGGATGATTGAAGGGGCCATCAAACTTTTTGGCGACAGCATAGTGGAACTCTCAATGAAAGCACCAATGTCAGTGTCAAAATCGGCGGATCTCGGATAGGGGGTCCCGAACTGTGCGTCTAAGGTCGATGGTAACAGGAGACAGGGGACACGATGTTTACCCAGGTTCGGGCCCTCTCTATGGAGGTAATACCCTACTTCCTGCTTGATTGATCTTGATGAATATGAGTGTTACAAAAGTTGATCTACCACGAGATCGTAATTGCTAAACCCTATAAGTCTAGCCTGTATGACTACGGTATTGAGTATCTTCTATCCGGACTAAGTCCTCCGGATTATATAGACACCGGGAGGATGTAGGGTTACACAAGGTCGGTTACAAAGAAGGGAATATACATATTACGTCGCCAAGCTTGCCTTCCACGCCAAGGAGAGTCCTATCCGGACACGGGTACAGTCTTCGGTCTTCGTATCTTCATAGCCCATCAGTCCGGCCCATGGCTAATAGGCCGGACGCCCGAGGACCCCTTAGTCCAGGACTCCCTCACCCCCCCCTTAGGCATGTGGCCGAATTGGAGAAGGAGGAGAAGGGGTTCGCCCCCCCCCCCCTCCTTCTCTCCTTCCTCCTTCCCTTTTCTCTCCGGCTAAAAGGAAAGGGGAGAGGCCGAATTGGAGGAGGCCCCCAAGTAGGATTCCTCCTACTTGGGGCGCCCCATGGCTGCTCCCCTCCCCCTCCCACCTATATGTACGTGGGGAGGGGGCGCCTAGAACACACATCAACAATTGTTAGCCGTATGTTGCGCCCCTCCACAGTTTACGCCTCCGGTCATATCTTCGTAGTGCTTAGGCGAAGCCTTGCGCGGATCACTTCACCATCACTATCACCATGCCGTCGTGCTGACGGAACTCATCTTCTTCCTCGACACCTTTGCTGGATCAAGAGGACGAGGGACGTCATCGAGCTGAACGTGTGCAGAACTCGGAGGTGTCGTACATTCGGTGCTTGATCGGTCGGATCTAGAAGAAGTTTGACTACATCAATCGTGTTGTCAAACGCTTCCGCTTTTGGTCTACGAGGGTACGTGGACACACTCTCCCCTCTCGTTGCTATGCATCTCCTAGATAGATCTTGCGTGAGCGTAGATTTTTTTTTTTGAAATTGCATGCTATGTTTCCCAACGAAACCATGCGGCTTATATACACGCCAGGTATGGTACCTAGGCTTACAAGGTCGGTATCTAGGCACAAGGCGGCAGGAGAAATTTTGGAGTGTACGGCAAGTCTTCGGTGAAGATAGCCTTGATCACGCCCTCGACGTACATTCTCCGGAGTCTATCTTGAGTATGAATGAAGGCCCATCGGCCCAATCCGAGGAGCATGGGCTGACTAGGTTAGTACCCCTAGTCTGGGACACCGTCAGGCAGTCTGTGTCATGGCCAGACTGCCACCAAAGGAGGAGAAGGCGGACGGTGACGGCGAGGACAGCTCCGACGACGAGCAGATCCGGCTTGATCCATACTGCTTCTTCGACCGGTACTTCCGCGAGAAGGACGGCAAGGGCGCCGGGAAGGACAAGGGTAGCCATAGATGAACTTCACCATAGCCAGACATGCCAAATTTTGATAATTCGATGGCATGTTTAGTAGTAGTGATGAAGTAGCCGGACAATGTGTGTATTGACGTAGTTGCATGAGTTTGTATAGATTTGAGATATGATAATTGAGGTGTCCGGATGTGAATTACATTATTTGAGGGGTGATCGGTCAGTGCTCGCGAACATGTTTAAAGGCTGAATTTGTCAAATCCAACTGTAAATGCTCTTACGGTTAGGAATTTATTCCGACTGTAGATGATCCTACGGTTAGGATTAAGCCCCCAAAGTTAGTGCAAGGCCGCGAGACAGCCGCAATGAAGGACCCGTCACATGCTCGCGCTCTGCTCCGCTCCGCTCCCCGCCATGCATCTCCGCAGCGCCCGGGCGCATCGGCCTAGGCCCCCCACGTCGACCACCAACAGCCGCCCACTCCCGAATTCACCGATTGAGATCCAGAGAAGCACCGCCGCCGAGGAAACGGGAGGTAAATTAAACTCGGCGTTTGACCAACTACGCGCGTGCATGCATGCGTTCTTGCATTGCTCTTGCCTACCTCGCTGCCGATTCGCCGTCGACGTGGTGGCACATACATGATGGAGATGTCGCTGATGGAGGCGATGGTGAGCGGCGGCACCGGGGAGTCGATCCTGACGTCGATGAAGTTTGCCGTGCTGCCGATCGCCAAGGTGTTCACATTGTGCTTCATGGGCTTCCTCATGGCCACCAGGTACATCGGCATCCTCGACGCCAACGGCCGCAAGCTTCTCAACGGGGTGAGCAAATTCCATCCACACGCGTCTGGTCTTTCAGAAGACGTTCACCTCAAATTATTCTAAATAGACTAGACCTCTATCGAAGGCTCCGAAAATCTATACGTGGCACAAAATTATGTATGGGCAGACTACATACGGTTATCTGTTTTTCAAGGAGGATAAATAGGCCCTACGTACTTAGCCAATCACAATAATATACTATTACACATATATGACACCTTATATTGATTCATGTGAATAATATCTGTAGGTACGAACTCATTGCGTCAGTGGACTGAAATTCTCATAGTACAGTTGTGTCGCTACCTACTGCTCATGACATTCTCATTATCTCATATATGTATTTTTGATGTTTTAACTGTATCCGGTTGTTGTTTCCAGCTAGTGTTTTCCCTACTACTTCCATGCCTTATATTCACTCAGCTTGGACGAGCAATTACAGTGCAGAAAGTGTTAGACTGGTAAGTATCAGTAGGCTCAAGCTCTAATTAACACACACAAAATATGAGCTGGGTCGAATTGGAGCACTCAGAAATGTGGATACTTAGAGCATTTACAACCGCATTTCATCTTCGGAACTCACGGGACTCAAGGCGCTGCCGTCTCCCATGCCCTACTCTTCATCTTCGGAGCCCGGAATCCGTTGAATGCCGATGGACGTCAGATCGATGATGGATCCGTCCTGTGACGAGCCGGCGATATCCATCACGACGCGGTTGCGGCACCGGACTAGTGCACCGTACGGGGCACCGCGGAATGCGACTTCGCTTCGCCAACGTCCACCGCCGCGAGGGTTGTCGCCGCCTCCCGCGCCCGCTGCCTCGCACGGTGGGCATGCCACGCCATGTTCGCATCGGACGACGCCTACGGTGCATCCCTCGGCGCGCCAACGGAGGGGTTACGTGTCTGCCACCGCGTTTGGACGTCAGACGGACCGCACCGCCTCCGACGAGACAGCGACGGCTACCCTAGCGCTGGATCCATGCGCCATTTGGGCGGACGCAATGGATTCCCGACTGAAGGGTCTGACCGCTGCCGTGCACGGGCCTCCTTCCGGGTGTGGCGGAGCACAAGCCGGACAGCCATCTCCTCTTTGGGGCCGCGTGGGATGAGCTCGGGGTCGACGGATCTGGAGGTGAACGACTCAGATTCACTGCATGCCATGCCGGAGACGGACAGACGGCGCCAGGGACGAGCTTGGGTGGCGGAGGGGAATGGAGATGAGTGGAGTGAAGTGGCTAGGGTTTGGTCCGGCGAGCGGATAAGGAGAAATATATGTAGGGTCGGGTGGGACAGCATGGCCCGGGTCCTACGTGACGGACGTGCCCGGGTGCGCCAGGCGCTTTCATATCCGTCTTTTATTTGGGTTGGATATGAGGGGTATCGCTCAGCCCGAACGTTTGAGGTCCGCTTATGGGGGCCGTCTGAGTTAAAAAAATCCTGACCGGTCAGTGATCGAGCTGCCCGACCGGCGTTTGAGGAAGGTTTGGGATGCGCGCTATAGATGCTCTTAACTTATCGATTTTCCTCCCTCAAAACACTGAACAAAAATGGATCTCGATCAAATGCTGCACAAGAATATATACTAATTCCAACACTGCGCAGGTGGTACATTCCTTTAAATATTGTTGTGGGGACAGTGTCTGGTTCTCTAGTAGGCCTTCTTGTGGCGTTGATTGTGCAGCCGCCACATCCATATTTCAAGTTCACCGTTGTCCACATCGCTATAGGCAAGCCATATTCTGCCAGCAATTCAGCATGGATCCATGGTTCCGTACGTGGGTCCTGAGCTTGTGATGCATGCATGCAGGTAACAATGGAAACATGCCTCTCGTCCTGATCGCCGCTCTCTGTCGAGACCCATCGAACCCGTTTGGGGATCCTGAGAAATGCAAGCAGGACGGCAACGCCTACGTCTCTTTTGGGCAATGGGTACAACATATATATACTTCCGTTTCATCTCTTGTGGGTTGTGAGTTGTGGTCTCATGTGTCCTTGCTCGCCAGGTCGGGGCGATTATCTTGTACAGCTACGTGTTTCAGATGCTTGCGCCGCCGCCTGGTGAAACCTTCGATGGAAGCAGAGTGGAGAATCCCCCTCCCCCAGCCCTGGCTGCTGCACCTGCACCTGAACAAGTTCGCCTGCTAACCTCGCGTGCATCTGAACAAGCTCCCAAGTGCTCAAAAGTAAGATGTTTTTCTTTCTTCCGTAGTTCTGTCGTTACAACTTCTTCCGAAATGTCGATGAATGGTTTTCTGAAAGGGTACCTGCCCTATAAACTGGACAGGCACTGGAAATTCTGCACATCTTTGTTGAGAAATTTAAGCTGAAGCGAGTGTTTCAACCACCGGTGATTGCATCGGTGAGTAACTAATAAAACAATGCTCGTTTGATTCTGCTCACACGGAGACTCTGCGCTGGCTGCCGTTTCCATCCACTGTTGTGATTCAACGTTTGTCAACATGTTTCGTCAGGCACTGGGGATTTCCATTGGAGCAACGCCATCCCTGAAGCACTTGGTCCTGACTAACCACGCCCCGTTATTCTTCTTTACCGATGCCTGCATCATTCTTGGGTACAATTTCATATTGCAGTTGCAGTATACACAAATCCCGTAGTAGTGTGCATTAGAGGATACTACTGCATAGTAACACAATACGGTCTGCTGCCTTCCTGCAGGGGGGCAATGATCCCATGCATCTTGCTCCCCTCGGAGGCAATCTCGTCGATGGTTAGCTCCGCTGTGCTCTCCTACATGCATGCATGCATGTAACCTCAATTAATTATCAGCGAGCGTGAATGATTACTACGAGTACAAGAAGATATGCCTGAGAAAAGCGTGTATGCTACTATATGTGTTGTTGATTGGAATCGATGCAGGTCCGGGTGCGGGCAGCAAGAAGCTGGGACTGAGGACGACGGCGGCGATCATCATCGGGCGGCTGGTGCTGGTCCCACCGGCGGGGATGTGCATGGTGGCCCTGGCGGACAGGCTGGGGTTCATCCCGAGGGGTGACACCATGTTCAAGTTCGTCCTCCTCCTGCAGCACTCCATGCCTACCTCGGTGCTCTCCGGTACAACAATTCATGTCCCCGAGCAAACTCAACCAAATTAAACCGCCACGCGTGGATGGATGCATACATGCACCAGGTTAAGTCATGCATGAGTAACGAAGCTCTGTCCGATGGATTCGAGCAGGGGCCGTCGCCAATCTGCGCGGGTGCGGGGAGGAGTCGGCGGCGGTGCTCTTCTGGATGTACGTTTGCGCCGTCTTCTCCGTCGCCGGGTGGATGGTGCTCTACATCAGGATGCTCTTCTGAGGCCTCCACCCCTTGTGTGGTTCCGTTCCCGCTTCTTCCACCAAGGAAATGTTACTCTATACTCCCATCCACTCCGACCGATATACATCATACACTGCTGTTGCTTACTGCAGTTCACACGCGCCGACGATGGTGATGCTAGTAGTAGCTGACACTGACAGTGACCTCCCGGCAGCGGACAAAGTTTGCTGTCGAGGCTCTCGATCCGTGCGTCCAGGACGTGTGTCTCGCAAGACTCGCCGCCCCGGCCGGGAAGGGCTTGGCTCCTTTTTGATTTGTGTGGCGGGGACGGGAGACTGCAGGATACTGCCGGCGCTGGAAATGCCCCGCAGCTTCACATAAACGACAGAAAAGGAATATGCACCAAGCATTCGGTCTACACTAGAGTTATGGATCAGTAAAAGCTAGCACTCTTTATGAATTGAGCACAGCGTGTACGGGTTCCTTTGATTCGAAATTCGAAGGATTTTCATAGGAATTTTGAATCCTTAGAGCATCTCTTCCGGTTACTATAATTTAGAGGACTACAAGGTCGAAGTATCGTTTAGCAAAGTATATTCACTACTTAAAAAAAAGGTTGTCTCTAATCGATTCTTTAAACTTAACTCACTAATTTTCTTTTTGACCAAATCCATTTAATTTGGTCCACCAAGTTAAATTTCAATACTCGATTATTTTATTAAATGACAACTTTTTAGAGAAAAGACATGAGACCGACTTTATAAATAAAGCCACGAGACAGGGAGCAAAACATGACAGTCAGGACAACCAACCAACATCCAGGACAACCATGAGAATTAAGACCGGACAACAGGCCCACAGAGTTAACAGGCATACATGCCAGCATAAAAACATAACATAGGCACGCAGGCCAACAACCTACTCCTAAAAACAAAGGACGGCAATACTGGGCACGATCGCCATCCGCTGGAGACGACAAAGAGTTGGGGGACGCTCGAACTTTAGCAATCAACATCTCCAAGGAGTCATGATCATCATGTTCGGTCAATAATTTCCACTGCTGCAAAATGATAGACCTTTTAAATAGGACATATGTAGGTTTGTTAGGAAAAACACCCTTTGTAGTCCAAAGCGACCAGCACAAAGAGCCAACGCCGACCCAAAACAACCATTTGGACCATCCCTCGAGCCCAGATGAAAGAAG